AGGATGGGGACGGGAACCCCAGGAGCCAGGCTCCTGTCCCTACCTCGGGCCTGTGGCCCAGGGGAAGTCACTGTCCCCACATGTCAGTTTTCTCTTCTGTAAAGTGGGATGATGCCTCACTGTGCGGCTGGGAGGGCCACATCAGAAAGTAAGTGGTGACACAGTACACACACACACCAACGCCGTGGGAGGAAGGGCCGGCTGAGGCCTGGTACTGCTAGTGGGCACCTCACTCCCCTTGCCACCTCCTCACAAAGAGGACATTTACCCCTTGAGTGGTACTGTTTTAGGAAGAGACCACTGGGTTTTAAAAGAGGGACTGTTGGGAGTATGGAGGTTCCTCAAAAAATTAAAAACAGAACCACCCTATGACCCAGCGGTTGCCCTGCTAGGTATTTATCCAAAGGATACAGGTGTGCTGACTTGAAGGGACACATGCACCCCCATGTTTATAGCAGCGCTATGGACAACAGCCAACATACGGAAAGAGCACAAAGGTCCACCTACTGATGAATGGATAAAGAAGATGTGATATGTGTATATATAATGGAATATTACTTGGTGATCACAAAGAATGAGATCTTGCCGTTTACAACAATGCGGATGGAACTAGAATGTATCACACTAAGCAAAATCAGTCAGGCAGAGAAAGACAAATATCATAGGATCTCACTCATATGTGGAATTTAAGAAACAGAACGGATGAGCATAGGGGAAGAGAAGGAAAAATAAGATAAAAACAGGGAGGGGGACAAACCAAAAGAGACTCTTAAATACAGAGGACAAACTGAGGGTTGCTGGCCGGGTGTTGGGTGGGGGGGATGGGCTAAACGGGTGATGGGCATTAAGGAGGACACTTGTTGGGATGAGCACTGGGTATGATATGTAAGTGATAAATCACTAAATTCTATTCCTGGAATCATTATTACACTATATGTTAACTAACTTGGATTTAAATTAAAAAAACAATTTAAAAAATGCTATTAACAAAAATATAAAAAAAAAAAAAAAGAGGGGGGACTATTGAGGCACCTGGGTGGCTCAGTCCATTGGGCGTTTGACTCTTGATTTCAGCTCAGCTCATGATCTCACAGCTTGTGAGTTAGTTGTGAGTCAGAGCTCTGTATCGGGCTCTGTGCTGACAGTGCAGAGCCTGCTTGGGATTCTCTCTCCCTCTCTCCTACTCCTCTAGGTAACCTACTCCTCTAGGAAGAGTCCAGCAGATAGAACTCCCTAAACTCCTCAGCCCCCAACGCACACCCCACTTCTTCAAGGGGGTGTCCGGCAGAGGGCGGCAGGTCATCTGTCAGGCACTTGCAGGCTGCCATCTCTCTCCCGGGCCACCCATGCCCTGGAGGTGGATGTCACAGCTCTTGTATCAAGGCAAGATGGCGAGCCAGGGTGACCTTGTCCTGTCCCAAGGCAGCCCACAAGGGGCCCCCACTTGGCACCATCAGTTTGTAGCCGAGTTTCCAGCCAGGATGAGCTCCGCTCTGCCATCTGCCCTCCCAGCTCTGCCTGGCCGGTGCCTGCTGGGCTGCCGGTCACCCAGCAGCATCTGTCCACCTGTAAGAGGCAGCGGCTGCTCCTGCGAAACGTGAGGAGCTTTCAGCACTCGGGGAGTCCCACCGTGGCCCTAGGGCTTCCCTGACGCTCTAGAGGCGGTGGCAATGACAGGGCCAGGCCCTGGGCGAGGGGTGCGAGTGACAGGCTGGAAGCACCGCAGGGACGAGGAAGTGAAACGCGCACTTGGCAGTGGCCTGGACTCCAGGGGACAGCAGCATACGTCCTGCCTCCCTGACACTCAGGACGGTTGGATTCCTGGACGGAACTGATTTACACACAATCCTACCACTTCACCACTGGTCCCTGGCTCCCCACTGCACAGGACAGAATGAAATGCTCAATTCTGACTTTGTTTCCTAGTGAAACCGGAGAAACTCTGCAGAAAGAATCCCAAGATACTCCTCAGCCTGGAGGCGAGGTTACTGGTTTGAAAGAGTTGGGGCACCCAACACTTTCCTACTGATCCTTCAAAGGGGCAGGGGAGGTGGGCGGGGGGTGGGGTTCTAAGAATCCAAGCAGCTGACAGCAGGTCCTGATGTTAATTCTCACAGGCCCTTGCAATGGCCCAGGTCACTCACTGCTGGCTCCAGCTGCAGAGGCTTGTGGGGACGCCCCTGGAAAGCACATGTGACTCACGGGACCCCTGCCTCCCAGCACCCCGTTCTGTGACTACTTCAGAGAAGGAGAGAGAGAGACTGACGCATATCAGCTGCACTGGCAATCACAGGATGTGGACGGAGGTCGCAGGGTGCAGGAGGGGAGGAGGAATTTTCCATTTGTTAAAGTCAAGGGCTTTGGGAGGCGACTGGTGGCCGCCGGTGGAGAAAGCTCCCTTCTTATCGTGATGCCATACACAGGCTGGCCTCTGGGCATAGTTAATATCCCAAATATTCTCATTCTGTGTGTGCATTTCAGTAGCATTCCTAGGAAGACACAGACGATATCATTTCCAAAGGACTTTCTGAAAATTAAGTCACAAAATAAAAGCCTGTATCCTGATTTCCCAGGATGTACCATCCCAGAATAGCAACGAAGAGATGGTTCTTATGAGGCCCTTCGAAACATGCCGGCCGGGTAGGTGCCTCGTCTACCTGAGACAAGGTGACTGTGCATGGGGTGGGGGTGCTTTAAAGCTGCCTGATGCTTTGCCCCATCTTTTGGTGAAGTCTGTCTGGCTGCTGCCAAAATCAGAAACCGCTGATAGAAAGAGGCCTAACGGGAGTCTCTAGAAGGGATGAACAATCTCCTGAACGTGAATGACTGAGGGGCAGGGAGGGGGGAGTACAACCCTCCTCCCTAATGATCTAAAGAGGTCACATGACAATGGAATAAAGACACAGGGATGAGTCCTGTGGGTCAGACTGGGAGTGGGGGTGGGGGAAATGCCCCTGTCACCTGCAGCAGAGTTCAGGACCAAGGAAGGAAACCCCTTCCAGTACACTGAGGGTGGGAGGCCCGCAGGTGGACGCACAGCAGCCAGCGTTGAGGGTTGGGACGTGCGTTCTTCAGAGCTACACGCAAAGTTGTAAAATGACATCTGAGACAATGCGGAGTTCTGTCTGCCCTGAATTTCTCGACAACAGGCAGAAGAGTACATGTGAACTGAATACCTTCTGAGCAAACCCAGGCCCCCAGCGGTGGACTGGGAGGTGGGGGGTGGGGGTGGGGGCAACAACCGAGAGAGAACGGGCTCTGCTTCTGCTCACCCTCCCCTTCTGATCTCTGTAGCTTTGGCAGGCCCGGTGGCAATCAGCCCTATGAGTTATAAGTGCAATATCTGAAATTTGAAGGCGGTAATTAATGCCTGTCTGCTTTCCTGAACGGCTCCTTCTGTTCGGTCAGGGAGCTATTGAGATTCAAGGAGGAAGGCTCCTGTCATGTGGAAGGTTTACAGGAATAAGTGAAGGAACAATTTAATAAGGCAATAATAATGCTTCTAAATAATTTACCAGACAAATGGCAGCAGCCAATATTCCCAGTACTCTGTATCTGTGTTGCTGGGGAGGGGACGTTCCAGGTAGATTCAGCACAAAGTCTAACAGCCTCTCGTGGAAAGACCCACCTGAGGTCTGGTGCCTCTGCCCTGGATATGCTCCTGTGTCTGTGTTGAGCCTCTTGGACCCTTTCCTCCACCTCCTCCTTCAGCCAGTCAGGATCTAGAGATCTAGAGCCTTGCATTTAACTAACACTTTGGCTAATTTAATCAATGATGGTCTGTTTAAATGCTAAGAGGCTAACAGGCCTCAGCTGGGCTGCCCTCCCAGCGGCCCCCCCTCCCCCAGACTGGGGAAGCAGGGAATAGTGCCAGGGAATGAACCTGCTACCAAATCCCCACCAGACCTGTGGTGGGGTGGCAGGAGTGGGGGGGTGGATCTGAGATATGATTCTAGCCACAGGTGAATGAGGGAGAGAAACACCAGACCATTCAACTGCTCCAGCAACACAGAAGTGGAAAACATATCTCTCCCGTGGCCTGGGCCACAGGACTCCTTCGGCAGGTCCACGGGGCAGGACTGGGAAGGCAAAACCACCTTTCGGTGTCCCTGGGTTAACAAACTCCAAACCAGGTGACACAGCTGGCAGGTCCTACACAAGCCTTTGCCAGGACAGATAACAAGGAGGCCAACTCCCCGAAAGGCTCAGCTCTCTCCTGAACCCTGCCTCCCGGCCCCATAGCAGCCAAGTGGCCACGTGTCAAACTGTGTGTCACCTCACACACCTAAATATGTGTCAGGGTTGAGGAGGACCAAGAGGAGGCAGAGAATATTAATGGATGCCGCAAAAGGGAAAGGGAAGCATTTCTGAGTCCCGCCCACAAAGCAGGCAGAGATAAATAACTGCCTCTGGTTTCGTATCTTATTACCCAAGACCCGTCTGGCGTGGTTTTCGGCTCCAACTCTCCCCGCCCCAATGGCACAGAGCAACCGAGAACAGCCTGGAGATTCATCTTCTTCCCTTGTCTGCAGGGAGGAGGGAAGACAGGGAGAGAGCTGGGCTGATCCTTCCCTATCTGGAGAGCCTGTGTGTGATCAGGGCCAACCGTGAGATGGCTCAGTCCTGCGTGCCCAGTCAGGAAGCCCGGCACCTACCATATGCTCCGGGGCTGGCCAGGAGTAAGGTCAAAACGCGGCAAGTCTCTGGAAAATTAGTTCTGACACTCTTGAAGAGCTGTGCTCAGGATGCCCCTCAAACCCCGAGCGAAATTTACAAGAGTTCAGGGCCAGGAGCTGGCAACAACCCGAATGCCAGCTGCAAGTCACGCGCGACTGAGGCCTGGTCACCGAGACACACAGGCTACGTTCTCAGTAACGTGGTCAGTTTTGTGCCCAGGGCCGTGGCCCCAGTAACCAGCCAGAGCGTGGAGCTGTGCAGACCCTCCTCTCTGGTTCAAATGCCCCCAGCCACCCAGGCTGGGCAGAGGCGAGGCCACTCACCAGGTAGATGCGGTAGGCGTCCACGCGGCGCAGGGGCCCCCAGCACGGGTCCGTGTCGTTGTGCTTGGTGTCGGCCTCCACACCACAGGACTCGTTGCCAGTGGCACTGCTGATAAAGAGAAGAGTGGCTCAGTGTGGCCCCCGCTCAGCTGGAAGCAGACAGGACGCAATGTTACTAATTATTAGCCACCGCTGAGCCTCTGCTCCCACCGCCACTGCTTCAGGGCCAGACAGCCTGACTCTCCACGAATCACGCCCTCCTCCTAGGACAGGTGCCACTGTTCCCAGAGCGCCATGTCCTGGCGGCTCAGGAGCCCCTGGTGGGAATCCTCCTAGTCATCTTCCCAATGGGGCAGGGAGGGGGACAATGACGAGGGGCACGTTTCCAAAGGACAAAGTGCACAGCCGGCTGCAGTACATGCAGAAAAGGGCCTCGGGCATCTCCGTCCTTTAGATGCTGACAGTTTGCTTGGTGTTGTGCTTCTACCAAAAGCTCTGCCCAACTGGCCGAGCAGGGCAAGGGGGACACTCACCAAGTCACCTGCATGAGGGAGAAGGGCACGGCGGCAGCATAGATGGCCAAATCCCCGTACAGGTAAATGATGATGCAGAAATAGAACAAGTTGACCCCCACTGAAAGGAACAGAGTCATTGGTCAGGGAGCCACAGAGACGCCCATGTTCTTTTCTGATGGTGAAGTCTCTACCTCTTCCATAGCTTTCCTTTCTCAGGCTGTTTACTTTCTACAAAAAGAAAACAACAGTGTCCTGTGGCTTGTGCTGCCTGATTGGTTACACTGCGATGCGGCAGGAGACACAGCCAACCCAGACTTTCACCTGTGAGGCTAAATGAGGCTTGCAGCATCAGACGCTCTGAAAGCAGGCAAATGCAGGGCAGTGTGAGGCGGGGGCTGGCTGGGGAGACTCAGAGGGGCCTTCATGCTTGGGACAAGCTGCCTGGGCAGGAGAAGGGGAGGGACCCTGAGTCAGGAGGCTGAACCCAAGTGTGCCTGGATCAGGGCCCCTTTGCAGCCAAACACAGGACTCTACAATAGACGCTGGTGGAAAACAAAACAAAAAATGGTCCAGCTTCTGAAGCTGAAATCAAGAGGGTAAAAAGCCCTTGATTTCTAAAGACCAAGTGCCTCGTTCTGAGTCTGACTATCCACCAAGCCCTGGATGGGAAGAGGTGGCTGGGGGTGCTGGTGACAGAGGGGGCAGTAGGAGGGGGCACTTAAGACAAGCTCATGGTCAAAATGGTTGCAAGGGAGGACGCTGCCTTTGGAAGCTCCCTCCACAGAGGCAAACCTTGCTCCCCTCTTCCTCTGGGTGGGGGAGGGCTGAACCAGGAACTGGGAACGTAGGCTCTAGCCCCAGTGCTACTGACCATGCTTCCTGACCCTGGCAAGTCCCTGACTATATTCGATCCTGTACAGCGAGAACTGTACCTGTGCTAAATTCCATGTGTGATTCGAGCTTTAAAGACCAGGTGTAAAAGCTCTGAAAAAAAGCATCCGGGCTCTACAACCTCAGGGTCATGCCCCCAGACAGCCAGTCTCAAACTCCTGTTCAGACTGACTGCTCATTTTTGATGTCACTGGTCTTAAGCTGCTGGCTTCTCTGAGAACAGAAAAAAAAAATGAAGTGACAGTTCCCTTCTAATCCTGGTGGCTCTGAAGAGCCTCTGGGGTCCCCAAGGGGAAAGCCAGGGACATGTTCCTCCTGGGTTATTTGAGGTCAGCTCTGCTCCTAGGAGTCTGGGGGAAAAAGACTAGGAAAATACGGTTCTTGCAAGAACTCTGGAGGGCCTCAGACAAAGTCAATGTCCAAGCTTAGTGGCCCCTGGGGTCTGGCTGTCACTCAAACCCCACGCTCCAGGTACAGCCTGTGCCCCAGCCTGTCTTTCTGCTCTGACACCAATGTTCTCTGCAGAGAGGTGGTGCCGCCCCCCCCCCCCCCCCCCCCCCTCCACTCGCCTGTGGACTACGGTGCCAGCTCTGGTTATAAACTGCCATTGACCCTCCCTGATCAATAAATTTCATTACTAGACACAAAATAGGGGGATCAATGAACTTCCTGAGAAGACAGCAATGACGAGGCCTGGCACTGCTGGTCACAAGTGAGCCTGGACCCCAAGGGGGCTTGTTGTGGGGGGTGGGGGGGTCCTTCCAAAGGGGAAGAGAACTGCCCATGAATTAGGAAGAGAACAGAGCAGTGGTTTTCCCCCCGGAGTGTGATTGCCTCACAATCCTCACCGGGGACATCTGCCAACATTTGAAGATGTTTTGGTTTTCACAACTGACAGGTGCTATTGGCACCTAGTGGGTGGAGGCCAAGGATGCTGCTTAACATCCCACAATGCACAGGACAGGCCCCACAACAAAGAAGGACCCAGTCTAAGTGTCAATAGTGCCGAGCGTGGGAAACGCTAAGCAGAGGAGACAGTGTCCCCTAAGTGTGAGGCTGCCCTTGTATGAAAGTGCTCCTTTTTTTTCTGTTAGATTTGGGTAAACTAGAAGTCTCGTCTGGAGGGGGAGAAAAAAACACCAAAACCACAGGTTCCCAGAATTGTTACAGAAGTCAGGGCAGACTGTAAAACATGCTCATCGGAAAGGAAGTTTCAAAGGCGGATGTCCTCCCTCCAATGTGCGTTTTCTCTCCAAAGTTTGCGTTTGCAGGGGGATTGGGTGCGGCTGCCAGGGGGAAATGTTTATGCTCTTATCTTCGTCTAATGAGATGGGGAGAGGTAGAAATGGAGCAAAGGAAAATCACAGAGTGGGCTGGACACAACCAGTCTGATTTTCACGAATTCTGGAAGCCTCTGTGAGGCTGGTAGGGAAGCAGGAACCAGACCCTCAGGCAATCATTGGCTGATGATCATGACATTCCAGACTGGACGGTCAAATCACACCACCAGTGATAAACCAAATGCTTAATGTCCTGAAAAGCAGTTGAGAAGACTCTGGTTTCTATAATTCCCCAGGCTCCAAGTTACTGCAGCCACACTGGAGATGGGAAAGAATCGGTGGAGATGCCACCCCTCTGTGACCAAAGGGCAGAGGATCTTCCAAAGATAAAATCCTTACAAAGACAGGATTTATTGAGATGTGTCTGACTGTCTCTGAAGGGGAAACGGACAGGTTTGGGTACTGAAAAACCATACCCTTAAACAGCACATCTTCCAAAGAACAACATTTGCCAGGGAGGTATAGAGTGTTGTCACAGAACACCCAGTGACCCAGCGTCTGAGCTGGGGGTGGGGTGGGGGGATCCTTTCAGCTGTAACCAGTCCTGCTAAGGAGCAGGTAGAGTGAGGAGGGGTCACGATCAGAAACAGATACCAAGACAGTAACCTTGTGTGTGGATTCCTGGCGCCCTCTGCTGGCCACTGGTGGAGAGAGGGGGGGAGAGGGAGAGGGAGAGAGAGAGAGAGAGAGAGAGACAGAGACAGAGACAGAGACACACACACAGAGGCATGTGCATGGTGTATCCCATCACTGTCACAGGTAGCTGCCCTGTGTTGTTCTAGACTGAACAGTCCAGAAGGAAAGAGAGACAAGTCAGAAGCAATCGAGCAAGAGGCATAAAACTACCAGCCAGCTCCACTGGCTTCCTTCCTTGGAAAGCTGCTTAGGATTCCTGACCTCTATGAGCAGGAAGAGCCAAGGAGCTGCTTCTCTATTTCTAATGCTGATGAGTGTGGAGAGATTCAGGAAAACAATGAGAGCGGCTCAGGCCTCTCGGCAAGGTGGCCTCGCAAACGCACTGGGATCTGGCCGACGCCATCAGCCCCCTCCCTAGTTGTCAAGGTCTGTCGGACTGCCCTCACCCCACCTTGAGAAAGAACTCATACCTTTATTGAAGAACATGGAAGCCATCTGTCCCATCTCCACCCGGTCTGTGATTTCAAAAAGGTTCAGAGATCCACGTCTCTCTGTGGAGCCAAAAGGACAAGGAAGAGAAAGTGGTTTTCATTCAGAGAAGCTCCTAGAGGGGGCACTAACTTCACTAAATTCTCCAGACTGAGGAAATCCTCAAGCATTTCAAATTCTCTTTATTTTTTTTAAGTTTATTTATTTTGAGAGAGAGTGAGCACAAGTGGGGTAGGAGCAGAGAGAGAGAGAGCAGGGAGAGAGAGAATCCCAAGCAGGCTCCACACTGTCAGCACAGAGCCTGATGCGGGGCTCGAACTCACAAACCACGAGATCATGACCCGAGTTGAAACCAAGAGTTGGATGCTCAACTAACCAAGTCACCCAGGTGCCCCAGCATTTCAAATTCTTGCAAAAACTTCTAATGTTTCTCCACTCGAAATGTTTAAAACAATATATAGAAAGGGATCCAGGGGTGCTGGTAATGGAGGGGAGAAGAAAAGCTGGGTCACGTGGCCCTGGCTCGGCTGGAGTGGGGAGGGACCTGCCAGACATGCGTGATTGGTGGGACAGGAGGATGAGTCGAACACCTCATATCAGTTCAAGCTTCCAGTGTGCCCAGGGTGATGAGGTGAGTAGTCTGACCAAGCCGCTAACATGAGCAAGTGGTGAATCCCGGGTCCCTGGCTAGTGCTCTGGCCTGATGGTCTCTGCAGAAAGACTCCCTTGCTCTCTTTACAAGGGAAGAAGCTTGTGGACCAGAGGGAGGTGCCTGCCGGCCTGTAACCCCAAGACTTACGCACTGAAAGGATGGGTCGTTTCTCTGCCCGCTCGTAGTTGTCCTGAACAAGGACGTCACTGTCGGAGGCTGTGGAGGAGTCCTCCTCTTCCTCCTCCTAGGAGGGGGTGGGGCGGGGGGAGGGAGGGGACAAACAAGGAAAAAAGAGGGGCACATAACTCGACAGAAAACCCACGGGAAACTGGAAAACCCATTTCCTTTGATCTTTCTTTCCAGAAGGCATCTAATTAAGGGCACCTCTCAACACCTCCGTGCTGTCACATGAGAAGGCACAGACACGCAGATGTCAGATCTGAAGCTGCAATGCTGTTCCTGGGACTAGAGGTTCAGAATGATGAGTAAGCTCACGGTAGGGGGCTCAAGGGGACCCCTGACATGATGCTAAGGGAGCAGAGGCTGCATGTGTTCAGTGAGCTTATGCGGCTGTAAAGCTTTGGCTCTGGAACAAGGGTCTTGGAGACATGCAGTGGACGTGAGCCCCCTACACAATGGGAGGGAAAGAACTGGCCCCTGAGGGCTGCCTCTTCTAGCACACAATTGGCCAGAGGCGCAGCCTGGAGACAAGGGCAATACACACACCTGGTGGTTTTCCATCCTTTTCCAGTGGAGCTGAGCGTTGGCCGCAGCCATGGCCTCTATCACGAAGGTAGTCGTCACAAAGCTGTGGAGTAAGGCCACAATTTAATTGCCAAAGGCAGGTGGGAGGTTGGAGGTGGCACAATGAAAAAGGAAAAATCGTTTCAAGACCAAGAAGCCCAAAGCATTGTCTCTTCTGAGAGCCGTTCCCTAGGGGACTTTTGAGATGCATTTGACCTGGTAAAATGTGTGTGCGTAAGGGACGTCTTGCGTGCTTGCCTTCATGTCCTTGTCTATGTTTAGAATATGTTTTGACGCACGGGAGAGAGGGGTGTGAAATAAGCTGATGGGGGCCGGGGGTAGAGCGTGAGCCTGGGGGAAGAGGGGACATGGGGCGATGTGGTACCGCACACCAAG